CATAGTTTATGTTTTATTGCTTCCAAGTTTAGCCACATAAATATAAAAAAATAGATATAGCTATATACACATATTTGTTTCATGTTTATACATGATTGAAATGATTTTATTAAAATCAAGCTTTAACAATTTCAAACCAATGAAATCATGTTTACCATATATTTTCGAAAGTTTGCACAATATGTGCTTATAGATAAAAAGACTCGATTATATCTTTTATACAGTCTATTAATCCATTCAAAAGAAGTTTCAAACTTGTTCGAAATCATTTTTTCAAAATCATGTGTTTTTGAGATTTTGTATTTTGACCAATTTTGTAAAATGATGAGTTTTCACAAATGGAAAATGCAATTTGAAATTTTCTTTTTATAACATGTTTATTTTCATGTTTATAAACATTTCCCAAAATTTTATATTTTTTGGAATTTATTTTTTATTTTTTAAACTGGTTCAAAGTTAAAATTTACTGTTCATGATATACCTTGTGCACGTTATCAGTCAACTGATGAAATCATCAGTCGACCGATAAAAGTGGCTGGAAAAGTAGAAAGTTTTTGCTCAGTCGACTGATGCAGGTTATCAGTTGACTGATGAGTCCATCAGTCGAGCGATGACGGATAAGTGGCCTATAATGGTCATCTCATCAGTCGACTGATGAACAGTATCAGTCAACTGATGGCACTGTAACGACTAACTTTTGAGCTTCCTGATTTTTTGGGTTTTTTTGTCTTTTTGCTTGGATTTTCTTGGCTTTTTGGCTTTGTTTTATGAACCTATATATATCCCTTACACTCTAACTTTTGAACTAAAAAAGGAAGTTTCAAAATACGTTTACAAGGGTTTAAGTGTATTTAAAGTGTATTTTTTACAAGAGTTTATGTGAAGAAGTTTTCACAAGAGGAAGAGACCATCTATTTCGTGTTTGGGATTCAATCTCAATCTCTCTCACTCTTATTTTTAAGATAAGTTTTTTTAAACTCAATTTCTAGCTTTATATATATATATATATATATATATATAGGAAAAAAGCCCTCGACGTCCCCGTTCAGCGTCGCCGCCGTCCCCTTGCCCTAGCCATCACCTCCCCTCCTCCTCTCCAGCTCCCGAGATCGCCGCCGCTGAGCGTCGCCGCCGGGTCATCGCCGTCTACTCCTCCTCGCCATCGAGCTCAGCCCTCGTCATCAGCCACAGCTCCGACGGCATTCGAGCTCAGCCCTCAGGTTCATCGCCGCCTTCGGAGCTTGACCAAGCCCTCGACGTCAGCCCTCATGGCTTCGAACAAATTGAAAGTGTCGACGTCTTCGAATTCTTCAAAATCAAAGCCTACCTCTTCTAAATGCAATAATCCTCCAACTTCGTAAGTAATTTGCTATGATATATTTAATTTTTAACTCTTTCTGAATTATAATTTTGTTGTAAGCCATGATGTATAATGTTTGTGTTAATAAACTTGTTAATATGTGTCTTAATTTGCCCAAATATAATTAATTTTTAACTCTTTCTGAATTATAATTTTCTTGTAGGGCTAAGATAACACACTTGAGAATTCCGGCCAATTTGTGTTATTTTCGAAATTTAATTGATAAGCGAATAATATTAGATGAAAGACACATAAAAGCCCTACAGACGACACCTTTTCACAACTTTCTCAATATACCCACATCCTTGAGCAATGAGCAAATAACAATTGATTGCTTGATTCAGAATTTTAATCCCGATAAATGCTCATTCATGATTGGGAATAAAAATTGTGTGTTCGGTATAGATGATATTCACCGAATTACCGGATTGCCAAAAGAGGGAATTCCGATAAAAATGAGTGGGGCAGCGGCTAATACAATCTACACCTATTTTGTAAAGAATTATAAGAAAGCCGATGTGGAAAAGAAGGCGGTGATTTCGTGGAAGCGCGATAGAATGGCCGAGATGATTGTAGATATGATTAATAAAGACCCTATAATATGTGTGAAACTTATTGTGGCTTTCATTATCGGCTTCATATTATGCCCGCGGACATGTAAGACATGTCCCTTGTGGGCGTTTAGATATGCGGAGCAGTTATCAACTTTGCATAAATATAATTGGTGCCATGCGGTGTTCACTCTTCTTTGCAAAGAGATGAGTAAATCAAAGAAGTCTCTTAGTATGCGGGAATTAGGTCAGCGCTCAAATGCCGGGTACATGGGTGGTTTTTCCTCCGTTTTACTGGTGAGTTACATGAACATTATTTTGTATATCTTCCCGTATTGATAATGATTATTGTTTATGCACATGCTAATGTGTAGTTTCTTTTTTGTAGGTTTGGTTTTATGAAAAAGTAGGGGAATTAGAGTATACTTCAGATGTTGAAAGGTTACCGCCGCTCTTTTGTGTGAAGAGTACTGGAAAGTGGAGGAGGACTACTATGAACAAATTATATAGAGTCCCGAAGTTGGTTACGGATAATGGCCAAGAGAATACTCCTCTTATTCATTCGGCATCGCCAATAGTATTTGTACATATCGTTGCTCTAATAGTTCATTATTTTATGTCCCTTTTGTTAGCCTCTATGTTTGCAACTATATTATACGTCCTAATACTAGCTTTTTTTTTTGTCAAATAGGAATTAAGGAAAGCAGAATTAATTTTCTTAATTGCGGAGAAGACGTACGAGTTGAATGAGCTCACTACAGAATTACGAGAATTAGAAGAGCGTAGTGCTAGATGCCAAAAAAAAACCAAGGAGAAAGAGGATGATGGAAATGTAACTGAAGAAAAAAAGTGCAAAAATCAAGAAGGCTTCATACCTACATCTAGAGACTATCCAGGTAAGGCACTGGCGTTTAATTATGAGAACAAATTAATTGAAGACTTTATACAATCGAGAATGAACAGGTAACTGTTACTGACTTATTCTAATAATAATCTTTGAATTTACTTGATTCTAGTAGCAATTTTCTCACAATGTACTTGCATATAGTGATACGTACATTTGGAAGTGTGCCGAAGCAAGCGTATCTCGCTTAGATGCTTATATACTATTAACGGGAGGTGAACTCAGTGACGATGTAGGTTCTAAACAATTGTGTTATTGATTGTTTGATGTTGTATATAAAATAATTTATATTAACTATTTTATTCATTCATGGTAATTTTTGTAGGTGATCGATGCATTTGTTATTCGGCTTTGTAACAAGATTGAAGAAACAACTAATAGTTATGATCGAAAGATACATGTCACAAGACCTTGGCTTGCAGTAAGTATATCCTTGTTTTTTTCACTAATTGGTGGATATTATTATTATGCAATAATGTTGACATTATTGCATCTTTTAGCAAGCATTTCTAGAAGAAAATCTTGAAATGGTGGCAAAACGAATGAAGGAAAATGTTTCTCAGCAGAAGTTCTTGGAGTGTGAAAGAATTCTGATCCCGATTGTCAGCTCCGGACATTGGCACCTGGTAGAGTTAGTGAGAGAGGAGACAAAATTCTATCACTACTCCTCAATCAACTCCCCCATTTATACCGCCGATGCTGTGAAATTTATAAATAAGTTTATGAGTTTCATTGAGAGTAATTGGGGATTGGGGAAATTGGAGCATCATGGTCTTGTGTCAGTTGCCGTGCCACAACAAGGACCGTAAGTGTTTCATGCATTTCTAATTTAATTGTTCATTTTTTTTGTTCATAGTCATTTTCAATATTGTAATATTTTTTCCTTAAATGCAGAACGTTAGATTGCGGGATCTTTATGATTGAATTCATCAACAGAATTGTCGAAAAACGGTCGATAATAATTTCAAAAGGAGATTGTGCAAAATATAGAGCAAAGTTTTGTGCTGCTCTTTTGTATGTACGCGATTCACCTTTTTTGTAAATATTATTTTAAATTTCTCCAAGGTTTTTGTTGTGTATTCAATGTTGTAAGTATGTTCATGTTGTTAATATGTTGTTAATTGTTTTGCGTGTACATTTACATACAACTACGTTGTTGTTGTGTGTTGTAAGTATTTTCATGTTAAATGAGAAGTGAGCTAGGGCTAACATAGCCACTAGAGCAAAAACTTATGCTAGAAATAACGCCAGTCCGCAGTATAGAACTAACTCGAGAAGGGATAGAACTAACAGAAGGGCAGCTAGAACTAACAAGCGTTAGGTAGGGCTAACATGGCCACCAGAGCAAACACTTTTGTTAGAAATAACGCCAGCCCACAGTAGAACTAACTCAAGAAGGGATAGAACTAACAGGAGGGCAGCTAGAACTAACAAGCAGTTAGGTAGGGCTAACATGGCCACCAAAACAACCACTTGTGCTAGAATTAACGCCAGCCCATAGTAGAACTAACTCGAGAATGGATAGAACTAACAGGAGGGCGGCTAGAACTAACAAGAAGTGAGGTAGGGCTAACATGGCCAACAGAACACACACTTGTGCTAGAAATAACGCCAGCCCATAGTAGAACTAACTCGTGAAGGGATAGAACTAACAGGAGGGTAGCAAGAACTAACAAGTAGTGAGGTAAGGCTAACATAGCCAATAGAGCAAACACTTGTGCTAGAAATAACGCCAGCCCGCAGTAGAACTAACTCGAGAAGGGATAGAACTAACAGGAGGACAGCTAGAACAAACAAGCGGTTATGTAGGGCTAACATGGCCAACAGAACACACACTTGTGCTAGAAATAATTCCAGCCCGCAGTATAGAACTAACACGAGAAGGGATAGAACTAACAGGAGGGCAGCTAGAACTAACAAGCGTGAGGTAGGGCTAACATGGCCACCAAAACAAACATTTGTGCTAGAAATAACGCCAGCCCGCAGTAGATCTAACTTGAGAAGGGATAGAACTAACAGGAGGGCAGCTAGAACTAACAAACGTGAGGTAGGGCTAACATGGCCACAAAAACAAACACTTGTGCTGGAAATAACGCCAGCCCGCAGTAGAACTAACTCGAGAGGGGATAGAACTAACAGGAGGGCAGTTAGAACTAACAAGCGTGAGGTAGGGCTAACATGGCCA